GCTGGCGGCGCCTTGCAAAAAGGAGTCAGGAGCAGTTGCCGGTAGCGCGGAAGCCGCGCTCACCCGAAAAAGGCACGAACCAACAGAAATCCTGCCTCCTGCGCTCGCCAGCTGGGCTTTGCTCTAGGAAGAGGCACTGGCAAACCACTTCCGAAACACTTTGCCTTGAAAACTGTAAAAGGACTCATCCAAAAGCAGTCACTGCAGAGTCGGTAACGACTGAGTGCAGATTAAAAAAAAAAAAATCAGCCTTGATCCCAGGGTACTGGAGGGGTGGTGGCTCCTGGGGGGGAAGTTTGGATGGTTTTCCAAAGGTATTAAAAGGACTCATCCAAAAGCAGTCACTGCAGAGTCGGTAACGACTGAGTGCAGATTAAAAAAAAAAAAATCAGCCTTGATCCCAGGGTACTGGAGGTGTGGTGGCTCCTGGGGGGGAAGTTTGGATGGTTTTCCAAAGGTATTGTGCTATAAATAACTGGGTGTGTTATTGAAGGTGGACTCTAGGCAACTTGGGATTGCTGCTGCTGTACTGGCTTCCTTGCATGAGCTGTTCACTTCTCTAGTGGATTTAATGGAGGAGTTGTCCTGGGAGGCTTTAATCTGCCTGCCTGTGGCATTGGGTCTGACGTGGCCTGGGAATTCATGGTCACCATGGCTACCATGGACCCGACTCAGATCGTTGGGCCTGATACACAGAGGGGATCGCACATTATATATATATATATATATTAGGGCAGGGCAGTTGTGACATGATCTAAAGGTGGGGGACATTACCACAAATGTTTGTCGTGGACTGATTACTCTCTGATTGTTATTGAGTTTTCCAGGGCTGCTTGCTCCCCCCCTCCCCCCCCCAGCAGGTTGGACCTATTAGATTGGTCCACCTCAGGCAGTTAATGAGTGCAGCTGAGTTTCAGAGGAAGTTTGGGTTTTTCCTGAAGGTCTGATGGCCAGTTTGATTGATGTCTTGGAATGTGTGTGAATGAATGTGCAATGATGGCCTTGATCAGATCGCACCTATGCAGCCTTTCCTTGGCTGTCAATCAATCCTGGGGGGGGGGGCTCTTGATTTACCAAGTGGTTCCGGAATGAATTTGACCGAACATGTGTAAGAGTCCAAATTAGGAACCACATTGTGGTAATTGTGATAGTTAAGCGAGGACTACCTGTATAGAGTTTGTTGCGTGCTGTGACTGTGTGTTCTGGGTTCTAATCTTCCAGAGCAGTATAGAATGAGGTATTGATATGGCACCTTTTGTTTTGTTTTTCTTTTTGCTTTAGTCTTTTTTGTTTCTGTTTTGTTTTGTCCTTTGAGTCAGTGTTGACTCCTGGCGACTGTCTGGACAAGTCCTTGCAGTTTTCTTGGCAAGATTTGCAAAGTGGTTTGCCACTTCCTTCTTCCTAGGGGTGAGAGCAAGGGACAGACCCGAGGTTGCCCAGCTGGCTTCGTGCCTACCGAGGGACTAGAATTCACGGCCTCCTGTTTTCTAGCCTGGTGCTTTAACCACCATACCAAACTCTAGTCATACTTCTCCTTCATCAAGCGTAACTTGACATGTTTGGTTGGACTGTGATCCTGGAATGTAATGGGACTGTTTGAGGCAGAATCTCCTGCACAGGTCCTCTAGGTGGGCAACGTAGTGAACATTGTTGTATGGATGCCTACTGGAGGACACTTTCTACCAGCTAAGCTCTGCCTGAAACTCTAACCCTTTTCAGATTGCAACTTTTTGAGTTACGAGCTCTGGGAGTAAGCTCTTTTGAACCGATGTAGGACGGTGCTGCATACACGATGTCCTTTATAGTGTAGGAGTACTGTAGCTAATTCTACAAGCATCATTTTGAAGTCACAGGAGGGTGCATTTTACGGTCAAACTATATATTCATCTATTAATCTCTTCAGTTTGCATACAGGTGGCTTTGCAATGACATACCTGAAAAACACGTTCTCCTTCTTATCTGTTAATAAGGAATTCCAAAGGAGTTCAGTGAGCTCCCTCTCAAGTGGGCATTTTACAGTTATTTATAACTATCATCTACTTCTGGAATTAATATTAGTAGGAGTTAGTAATGGAGCTGATGAAATCCCGACAGCAATTTTATCCAGAATATGCAATAGTAAATGTATCAACAGTTTAAGAAGCAGACCAAAAATTGTTGGCAACAGTTCTGGTCCATTATGGAGAAATGCAAACTAAACTTGCTTTTCTGGGGCACAATTTCCACAGAATATTGTGGATCTTTTAAAATGGCTAAAGACTACATTGAGAGATTATCAGGCTCACAAAGGTCCCCTTTCCCCCCTTTTGCTCATCTCCCCACGCGATAAAGGCTTATGCTTGGTCCTGACGCTGAGGTGATTGATTCGGTCGTAGCAATGAACAGACTGCAAGTTCCGCGCTCCCATGCGCGCATTTTGGATCACGAGCTGTAATTACAGGTTCTTCATCAGCGGCAACAATTCCCAGCGTGAGAAAGGATGCTTTTGACGAACGCGCGCAAGCGAGCGCACAGCTCGCACCGGGCTGACCGTCGCTAGCAGTTAACAGTAACAGTAACAATAATGCACAGCGACCCTTGGGTATGAATTAGCCACTACCCTCCCCCCCCCGGACTCATTCCCACTTTTCTTCTGTACCAGGGGGGGCGTTCCTGTCTAAATAATGGACCCCCTCCCCGTTCCTTAAACAGGCGCTGCTCCCCTCCCAGCTGGAGGACCCCCCCTGAGATCCGAGCTATCCCGAAGAGGGCGAGGG